TGGAGTTGACAGGTTGTTATGTAGTTGTCAGGTTGTGTTTATTCTGAATCAGTTTCCTAAAAGTAGCAAAACCTAAGCTTCACTTATAGAACTTCACTAAAACTTGTTTATTCAGGACATGTTAATTTAATGAATATTCAGTGGAGTGAATGACAGGCTCCTCCCACAACAGTGTTTGTGTAAAGTGCTTAGATGAAGTGTGTGAAAGGCTGCTGGTGTCTATTCACTCTGACTGCTATCATCCAAACTTATTGAACGAAATTTTGTTTTTGCCTACTTTATTTTCATTAAAAACAAACCTCAGGTCGTTTGTCTGCTATTATGATTAATATAAATAATTAATGGGTGCATGTTATAGAAAACCGGTTTGTGCTAACCCTTTGTCAGCTCTGAAATGATTGATGTCCAAGTCACTCTTTGCAGTTATCTTCCATCCAATTAATTCAATTTAATTCCTTTTTGTTTCTATTGTGCTTTTTATAATGAATATTGTGTTAAAGCAATATATGAAAAATTTAAAACAGTATATGTTCTAACTGAAAATAATATTTGATTCCTATAGAATAGAATAGAATAGAATAGAATAGAATAGAATAGAATAGACTAGATTAATAGTGCAGTGCTGTATGTGAGCAGCAGGAATGAGTCATAGAAGCTGAAGGAAATGCAGATCTTCAGCGCCCTCTTCTGCTCACTTATAAAAATGCTTTGGTTGTAAACATGGTTTTAAATAGTTGCTTTTAATTAAAAGTATTTTCGATTTTATGAGTTATTTGCACAGAAATGTCTGTTTAAAAAGTATCAGATGCCCCAGTAAACAAATTTTAAAGCTGTAATTTTATAAATGCACGTGTGGATATATATACATAGGGCTACATGGTATTGAAAATAAAATAAAAAATGCAATAAATATTGAGATATGGGCATAATTTCTCAAGATGACTAATAATTAGATTTTTAACATCAAATGAATTCATACTAATTTGATTTAACAGTGATTGGATGATTGTAGGCGAGTGCATCTGCATAAAATATAGAAAATTACAGAAAATAAACATAATAAAATGAATCAAAGTCCTGATAAAAACAACAGAACACAGACAAAAATGAAATAAATGGTTTTCGCTGGAGTTTTGAAATACACTAAAGTTCGATAATTACATGCAAAATAACACTGCATAGTCTTTATTGTATAAATAAACACAGTTAATATTTGTTAAAGCTGCAAACTTCATAATTTTTTTTATCCGAATGGTTTAAATTAGCTTGAAATTGTAAAGTCAGAGGTCTTAAAAACACATCTTCACACACTGTTGGATTATAGTGTTATGAACTGTATTTTATGCTTAGTTTGGCATTGCAGATCCAGTGATGTGACTATTGTAGATACACACGTTGCAATATTGATGCTGAAGCTATATATGCTGCACCCCTAGTTATATGTCACTTAACATTTTTAAAGCTGTGATCATGTAAATGATCAACATGTATATAGAGACGCGCTGATGTGTGCTGTTCTCCACTGTTCCTCAGAGGATGTGCTGTCGAAGGATGCTGGAGAATGTGCAATATGTCTGGAGGAGCTGCTGCAGGGAGACACCATCGCACGCCTGCCCTGCCTCTGCATTTATCACAAAGGGTAAAGACCCTCATGCTCGTCTGTCTGTCTGTCTGTCTGTCTGTGTGTGTGTGTCTATGTGTGTTCTCTGACATCATCTCTGCTCTCTCTGCAGCTGTATTGACGAGTGGTTTGAAGTGAACCGATCGTGTCCTGAACATCCTGCAGATTAAAGCGCCTCTCTCACCTTTTTTGCACAGGTGACACACACACACACAAGCACACACACACATACACATATAGTGTTTATATTAGTGTTCGTGTTTATATTCATTAGCACACTTTACACTGTACTCTAACTCATGTAAAGGCACAGCTTTTGGTGTGCTTCAGTGGTTTGTGCATCACACAGGTTTATTAACAGTTCTGCCTCAATCGACAAGAAGACATGTTTAATTTAGGCAAGGCAAGTTTATTTATATAGCACATTTCAAACACAGTGGCAATTCAAAGTGCTTTACATAAACAAGAATAAAAGAAACAAGTAAAATAAAAATAAATAATAAAAATGAGTAAAAAAAATGTAATATTAATAAATATAAATATTTATTAATATATATGTATTATATTTATTAAAAATAAAAATATATATATTTATTAATAATAAATATTAATACATATAAAAATAAATACTAATATTTAAATATTAAAACAATTAGAATTAATTTATGAGATTTTAAATTAGTTAATGTCTCCCTGCATTAATTACATGCCTTCTATTTAGGATTTTCCCTAATAAATTCGTTTTTGTCTGGGTGGGCCAGCCTCCAGTGTGAGTGGGCCACCCCGGCCCTTATGTAGCCTCGCCACTAAAGCAAACTATAGAGTGGAGGAAATATGACGTCAATTTGTATGCAAAAACCCGGAAGCGAGTTAGCATTTTAGCACTTCCGGTTCCCTCGTCCCAAAGTCAATGGGTTTTATGAATGGGGTTTCAGTAAAATCGCTTAAATAAGGTCCGTGTCTAACACAAACTCAAGATATTTTCAAGTTTTGTTCTATGACATAAAACACATCAGTTACAGCACACTCTTGAATTTTGAATTCGGCCATGCTTCTTTAAAAAGACGGTTGCTATCAAGTTGCTAAATGGGACTACAGGCGGTGTCGGAGACATTATACATCATCGAGCTGTTCTGGAGCGCAGCTCGCTTGTGTTGGGCGTTTGGATTTGTCTGTTATTTAACTATTTTCATGAACAGTATTTTATAGTTTTTTGTGTTTTTCTAATTAAGAATTCAGATTGTGTGAAGATAATGTCTTCACATGTAAAGGCTGTCGAGACAGATTCATTTGTTGATCATTTATTTAAATTAAACTATAAGATACAGCTCACCAGTGCAGCCTGTCTCTCTCCTGCTCTGAGTAATGCAAACGTGTGAATAAATGTGTAAAAATACACATGTTAACTGTCATTTTAACGTGATCAAGTGATTTTTCGTCTTTTTTTATTAATCTGAACACATTTTACTCGGTCATAACTGCAATATTTACACTCCTCCAAAAAACGTATAGCAGATGTGACTGTATTGGGCTGCTTTTCGCTGTACGTCGTGACATAAAAGGAATATTTAATGTTGTTCTGTGTCCATCATGATGCAGGCATTTGATAGACTTGTTCCTCCTCACGCCTCATTTCTGTCGTCTGTTTAAGGTAAGCAGGCTGTGTGCGCGAGCGATACACTTATTTAAATATGTCTGATGAAAATACTATATAGGCAGATTTATACACGCAGTTTTAAAACTTTTAGAACAACCGCAAAGCAAAACAGATGTATTTCCCACGTAAAAACGATTCAAAAGGCACATATGTCTGTGTATTTTTGCGTATTGATTTGTTTATAGTATATAGCGTGGATTATAATATAATAAACAGAGAGATTAATTCTTTGTCAGGGACATTATTTCTAAAAATAAGTTTGATAAGTTGTCTGTAGCAGGGTGGTGCTGACGTCACAGACGAGCGCCCCGAGGGCTCTGTAGTCCGTTTATTGCCTAATGTTAGCTTTTTAACTCTTGCGTTTGCATTTAAGATCCAAAAGTGCACCATGTTGTATTTTCGTGTGAGGATTATCCGGCTGGACAAAACGTGTAAATGTAATGAACTGTGTCTGAACACAGAGCTTATTATTTGCAATCTTCGAAAAACCTATGGGAAAATCCTATAGGGGTTTTCACGAGGGAACTAGTTTAATGCTAGCAGCCGATTCGCCTACAAGGTGACGTCATAGTTCCTCCACTCTATTACCGCTCTGTGTTACTTTTGGCTGCATATTGTAACAGGACGCAAACAAACGAGAGCAGCTTTCAGGCAAGAGCACATTTTTGATGCGAGCGGGAAACCGTGACTATGCTGAGAACTCGGAAATGGACGTTATGAAGTGCCTCGACTTTGAAGTGAGTCTGTCGCGAGGCATAATGAAAAGCTGGTGAATGAAATGTCAGAGGTGGCTTGTTGCTGGACAATTTGTATTCACCATCTTTTGTTTGCACACATGGGGCCCTATCATACACCCCTGGCGCAATACGGTGCAAGATGTGTTTGGTGTGATTTGTTGCTATTTTCAGACCAGCGCAACAGTCATTTTCATGTTTTGCGCCCCGCTGTTTAAATAGCAAATCCTTTTGTGCCACTTTGTGGACTCATAGGTATGATTGTCTAGAAACTCATGTAAACACCACATTAATACATGAGGCAAACAATTAGATCACTGATGTCCAACTGATGTAAGCATAGTCAGTGTCAGATTTAACTGTGTGTGTGTGTGTGTGTTGTTTTGTGTCTGCAGCCTCTTCCGCTGGTGAGACGCCTCCTGTCCTTCTAAAGGGACAGTAATGTGAATCCTCTTCCTCCTCATAGACACTGTGACCGAGCGGGACGTCCCGATCAGAGAACTCGGCCCTTCCTAGTCGCCATATTAACCCTAGTGTGCCAAAACTCATTCAGGGAAACTGGCAGTCATCATACTGGCTGCTTTCTGCTCTCTGATTGGCCGGACTTGAGGTCAGCTGACTCCCATCTCGTTGCTGATTGGACGATGGGTTGATTGTTCTGCTAAATGGGACCGTGTCTCTCAGTGCCTTAATTTTCAGATGCGGCGGGCAGAAAAAGCTGCGTTTGGGACAGCAGAAGGGCTGGATGGAAACGTCTGGATATGAAGGATGTGTTTCCTGATTCAGGACGGCTCCGTGCCACGGCCTGTGTTTGCCCCACACACTGGAAAAAGCCATTAGTTACTTTACTTTAAAGCTGTGAGTCAAGCCATTGCTTTAAAAGCAGCACGATGATTCTACTTTAGAAATAAACATAGTCAGTAAACCCACTGACTCTAAACGTTTATAACTATACACTTAGTTTGTGACCGTAATAATTAAAGTCAGCGAGTTTCCTCTGTCTTTGTTGAGTAAAGTCAACTAATGGCGTTTTACAGTGTTGATCTCCAGTCTGGTAGCAATAGCTGGATCTTCATCTCTGCAGCTTTTATGCAAGTCAACATTTCAGATTTTTTCCTTCATGTCGAGATTATTCTGGGCCTTAATTCAGCACATCTCGTCCAGGTCAGAATCAGAAGAAGAAAAAGTGCTAAAGGATATTTTGCATAAAGAAAATAAAGTGTTTTTTTTCTGGGAAATATAATGCAATGCAGTTATTTTTATTCAAATCAACATTAATTAAAGGCAGTACAACAAATACCGTGATGATATCATTAGATTGTGTGTGCGTGCATATGCAAAAGCTAAAACGCCATTATATATATATATATATATATATATATACACAGTTGAAGTGAGAATTATTCGCCCCCCTTTAAATTCTTTTTCTTTTTTAAATATTTTCTAAATGATGTTTAACAGAGCAAGGAAATGTTCACAGTATGTCTGATAATATTTTTTTCTTCTGGAGAAAGTCTTATTTGTTTTATTTAGCCTTTAATAAAAGCAGTTTATAATTTTAATCACCATTTTTTAAGGTCAATATTATTAGCCCCTTTAAGCAATATTTGTTTTGGATAGTCTACAGAACAAACCATCGTTAAACAATAACTTGACTAATTACTCTAACCTGCCGAGTTAACCATATTAACCTAGAGAAGCCTTTAAATGTCACTTTAAGCTGCATAGAAGTGTCTTGAAGAATATTATTTAATGTCATCATGGCAAAGATAAAATAAATCCATTATTATAAATCAGTTATTAAAACTATTATGTTTAAAAATCTGCTGTCCGTTAAACAGAAATTGGGGAAAATATAAACAAGCGGTCTATTAATTTCGGGGGGCTAATAATTCTCACTTCACCTGTGTGTGTGTGTTTGTGTGTGTGTTGTGTGTGTGTTATGTGTGTGTGTGTGTGTGTGTGTGTGTGGGTGTGGGTGTGGGTGGGTGTATGTGTATGTATGTATATATGATTAATATATATATATATATATATATATATATATATATATATATATATATATATATATATATATGCGAGTGTGTATGTATATATAAAAATAATGGCCTGTGAAACCTTCAGTACGTGTGGTCATCAGACTTCACAAACAAGCAGAGGGAGAAAATCACAAGACATTGTCTCAGAAAAATAATTTCAGAATTTTTATTTTGCATAATATTGGTGTCAAATTGAAAACATATACTCAGGAGATGTGGCTTTTGACCTATTACTTTTCCGTGTTGCTCCAGAACAGATTACACATATTTGTTTATGAAACAAATGTTTATTGCGGTGCAATATTTTTACATTACTTAAGCATTCATAACTTTTTTAAATTTTGAGCATTATAAACTCTAGATGATGGATAATAAAGCCCAGAGTGTCTTCTTTCCAATGATACATAAACTGTGAATGTAGACCAAATCATTCAGCAACTGTAAATGTTTTAGCTCGGGAAGATCGTTTTTGAGAAAGTGCCTCTGACGGTGAGGGAGAGAAGGACATCGATATAGCCTCAGAAAACTTTTTACAGTAATCTCATTTTGCATGCATTCGTCGTCAAATTTAAAATATAAACTTATGAAATAATTGACTTATAAGTCATATTTTTTCTAGGACATTACATTAATGTTTTCCTGCGTTTCTATATGGAAAACTAGTATTAAACTCAATACAACTTTTTTCCTCATAACTTCATGATGTATATCTTTTTTTTTTTTTTTACATGTAACTTCACCTTTTACCACAGTAAAGCTCCAAGTGTCTTCTTTCCAATGATACCTAATTTGTGTTTGTAGCTTACTGGAGTCAGGAACTGTTTATTTAAAGTTAGGTAGGTGTAAATCCCCAAAATTGAGTGCTGGCTAACAGGTTAAAAAGTACAAAAGTGTTCCTCTTAAAATCTCTTGGTACTAATATATACTTTTGAGGTACCAATATGGACCCTTTAAGTACAAATGAGTCCCCTTTGAGAAGATACCACACCAGTGACAGCTCGCGTACCTTTATTTCTGAGAGTTTAAATGCATTATTGTCATGTGGAAAATGCACGAGTCTCACAAACTGAATGCACAGGTCACATTTCAGGGAAGAGCGATAGAGATTTTATGACAAAAATACAAGTGTTTTTAGACGATGAAAGTATTTTGATACTGCTCTTAATTAATGCTGATTGAATAGTGAAACAAATGTATTCCACTTATATTAATCATCATGGAGAAGAATATAAATGCATAAAGTGTTATAAAGATGCATCACAGCACTGACGGTAAATGTGCTTCATGGTCAGAAATGATGAATATATTGTGATGAACTGTGAGCTGAATAATTATTCTCGCTGCTGGAAACAGCTTTACTTCTGGGATTTATTTGTCTTGTTTCTCTCCATATAGTTTGGTCTGAATCAGAGATCATGATTAATATCATTATCATATTTCATCTGTTTCCCTGCTCATGTGACGCTTCAGACTCGCTGCTAATTACTTTTCTGAATCATTCTGAGATCCTACAAGGGATTTTATTGAGTTCTTCACACGGTCTCAGTCAAGCCTTATTATGTGTTCAGGTTATCCGAGTTTCATCTGTCAACATGGTAATACTGCAAATTCTTCATATTTAGTGTTTTTCTCTTGAAGCATTCAGAAAGGAACCCGTTTAAGCCCGGCAGCAGCTGTATATAGGTTTTTCTAGTTTTATTTTTCTAAATGCCCATTTTTTAAACATGGCTGTGTGTATTAAACCATTCAGAAACATTTAAACACACATGGTTCAGCTATAAACACTGGAGAAACAAAATTATATAAAAAATGTATTAAAAGGAAGCAAGTTCATGCTCAAAACAAACAAATATATTTGTTTAATGAGGTCAGAAAAATAAATAAATTATATATATATATATATATATATATATATATATATATATATATACACACACACATACACACACAGTTCATATATATATATACACACACACACACACACACACAGGGCTTGACATTTACTTTTTTTGATCACCAGCCTCTTTGGCTGGCAGTTTTGCAACATTACTAGCCACTCTGTATTATTTTCACTAGCCACACTTTTGTTGTTGGGAACATATATTTTATATGCAAAAAATATGACTTTGACATGCTAAAATACTTATGTGTTCTGACCACATGCCTCCTCGTTCATTTCACGTTTTGTGTGTCGTGTATGAGCACATGGGTCATGGTTTCATAGTGTTAAATTGCAATCAGTTTTGTTTCACATGACTTTTCAGAGCTCAAAATTACGCATTTACCAAACGTATCTCTGACCCCACCAAACAATAATTATTTCATAGGCACAAAGATTAAATGTGTCAAAACAAGCTAAATATAGCTGTGTACTATACTTTTTATTTAACTAAACATTTCTTTAAGAAAACAAAGAAAAACAACTGACTTTACTATTGTTATGTATCAGAAATATGCACAGTAATCAATCCTGGATCTCTCAGATTACCAGTTACAACACATATATAGTTAATCCTTTAATAAAGCAATGTTATTGGAGAAAAAAGATAATTAAACCAGATTAACAAAAATAATCGTATAAAAGAAAACAGCTGGGAAACGTACTGTGGGATAATGAAAGGATGATCACGCGCACACGGTAAAGGCAGTCTCAAAGTTGCAGCAAGCCTGTAGGTGCATGAGCATCACTTTTAGCGTAGTCTATTTGAAAGAGAACCAATCACAGGTGCGTTCCAGGCACAGTTGCTCCACGCAAGGAAATGGGAGCGCACACGCGTTTTAAACAGTCACAGGCATCACATCATCTGTTGGCGCAAGTGATCATCCTCTCAGTCGGTATTCACCTGCTTTCTATTGCTCGCGCGGACGCAATTATTTTTGTCAATCCTGCTGCTTCTCGATTCTAAGATCGCATTTGCACGCATATTGGGCCATCCTTATTGTCGAACCCTGCTTTAAAGAAAACTAAAACCTTACATTAGTTTCAACCAGCTAAAGTGGCTAGTGAAAGCTGAAATCTACCTGCATTTGGTGGGTGTTAATGTCAAGCCCTAAAATATATATATATAAATATATAGACACACGCACACACACACACGTTTATATAGGTTGACATAAACATAGAATTAATATTAATAATTATTAATAAATATTAATAATCTATATATATATATATATATATATATATATATATATATATATATATATATATATATATATATATATATATATATATATATACACACATATATATATATATATATATGTGTGTGTGTGTGTGTGTAATAAATATGATAAATAAAATATACTGAGAGAGTCAGCTTTATTTGTATAGCGCTTTTACAATGTAGATTGTGTCAAAGTCACATAAATGGTCATTGTAACTAGAACAGTTTGGTTCAGGTTTTAGTGTTCAAGTTCAGTTCAGTTCAGTTTAGCTCAGTTCAGTGTGATTTAATCATTACTGAGAGTTCAAACACTGAAGAGCAAATTCATCGATGCGTAGCTCTACCAATCCTGAACCATGCGAGGCAGTGGCGACATATTACAATAATTATATAATTATTATATAATTATATAATAATTAATATATCAATACACACACACATAACAAAAAAAAGGTTGACATATATTTTAATATATATTCTATTGTTTTGCTGCTGGGCAACGATTAATTAAGATTAATCACAACCAAAATAAAAAGTTTTTTGCTGACTTATGAATGTACTGTGTATATTTTATTATGCATGTATAAACACACACACATTCATAAAAAACAAAAGTTTACTAAACTAATATGTTTACAATAATATTTATGAGTCACACGGTGGTCCCCTTAATTGGCGTGGGTTTCCTCTGGGTGCTCCGGTTTCCCCCACAGTTCAAACACATGCGCTATAGGGGAATTGATGACCTAAATTGGCCTGTGTGTGTGTGTGTGTCTGTGTGTGAATGAGTGTGTGTGTGTGTGCGTGTGTGTGAATGAGTGTGTGTGTGAATGAGTGTGTGTGTGTATGTGTGTGTGTGTGTGTGTGTGTGTGTGTGTGTGAATGAGTGTGTGTGAATGTTTCCTAGTGCTGGGTTGCAGCTGGAAGGGCATCCACTGTGTAAAACATGTGCTGGATAAGTTGGCAGTTCATTCCGCTGTGGCGACCCCTGATTAATAAAGGGACTAAGCCGAAGAGTAAATGAATGGATGAATAATGACTCCTCAAACTGATTAACGCTTCTCAATGTTGTGTTCAATCTGCTCTCTTCACAGTAAATACACAAACATATACAATACACACTTCAATATCAATGACGTAAAATATGACTTGCAACACACACACACACACACACACACACAAACAAACAGCAATTCTTCATCTATTTATTTACCTACATGAATAATCTTTAATATAAAGACGTTTCTCTGAATTCTTCATAATTTTTTTATTTTATCAGTTAAATGGCACTGAGTGAGTGTTTGTTCTAAGAAAATAATGCACAAAACAAAAATAAAACTAACTAAAACTAAAATGCAATTTACAGCAGGTTGTAAAATAGTATGACATTAATGAAGGTCACACTTGAGTTAAAAGGGCCACGAAACCTCCGTGTCAGCAGGGTGTTTTCACACCTCTAGTTTGGAAAAGTTCAGGAAAGTGGGTGTGTCCAGCTCTGTTTAGGTGGAAGTGTTGGGGGAGGCATAGAGGGAAGGTTTTGCATAAAAATGGGAGTTTCCGTTTAGACACGCGCTGATTTTCACAGAGGCAAAACAAACACAGAGAAGCAGGGGACAAAGATAGTGACTGTGGACCTGTTTACACTAATGCATTTTCATTTCGAGAGCCGAAAACTAACGCCCTAACCCTAACACAACATGGCGTCTCTCTGCTGTCTGAACACTGTAACAGGTAAAATAGTCTTGGAGGCGATCATGCATATTAATGAAGTTGTAGCGCATACAGAATAGAGTGCGCTGATTGGTTTGAACCAAGTCATTCTTGGTTAATGATTATTACTTGGTTAATTAATGCAGGACACTTAGAGACGTCACAAAATACTCCCAGGTACAGACATCTGGTCTCCACACTGGATTACACACAAGGATCTAATCGGCGTGATGCAGCTTCAAGATTTGTTTCAAACTGAATTTGCTCAAAATAACGCAAAAACAACCAATTTCCACTTTTTAGTAAAATATATGTGTCCTAATAGTGTTTTTAGCAGCGTGGGACACATATACATCCGTCAACAGCTCAAAACCTTTGTTTCGGTGTTTCGTGACAGTTAAAGTCATAATCCATGCAAACCATTAACTAACACTAGCTTTATAAACTACTAATTATCCGTTTATTGCGTTGTTACTAATTATCCGTTTATTGCGTTGTTACTAATTATCCGTTTATTGCGTTGTTAATAATTATCCATTTATTGCGTTGTTACTAATTATCCGTTTATTGCGTTGTTACTAATTATCCGTTTATAGCGTTGTTAATAATTATCCGTTTATTGCGTTGTTAATAATTATCCGTTTATTGCGTTGTTACTAATTATCCGTTTATAGCGTTGTTAATAATTATCCATTTATTGCGTTGTTAATAATTATCCGTTTATTGCGTTGTTACTAATTATCCGTTTATAGCGTTGTTAATAATTATCCGTTTATTGCGTTGTTAATAATTATCCGTTTATTGCGTTGTTACTAATTATCCGTTTATTGCGTTGTTACTAATTATCCGTTTATTGCGTTGTTACTAATTATCCGTTTATTGCGTTGTTAATAATTATCCGTTTATTGCGTTGTTACTAATTATCCGTTTATTGCGTTGTTAATAATTATCCGTTTATTGCGTTGTTACTAATTATCCGTTTATTGCGTTGTTACTAATTATCCGTTTATTGCGTTGTTACTAATTATCCGTTTATTGCGTTGTTACTAATTATCCGTTTATTGCGTTGTTACTAATTATCCGTTTATTGCGTTGTTACTAATTATCCGTTTATTGCGTTGTTACTAATTATCCGTTTATTGCGTTGTTACTAATTATCCGTTTATTGCGTTGTTATTAATTATTCGTTTATTGCGTTGTTACTAATTATCCGTTTATTGCGTTGTTACTAATTATCCGTTTATTGCGTTGTTACTAATTATCCGTTTATTGCGTTGTTACTAATTATCCGTTTATTGCGTTGTTAATAATTATCCGTTTATTGCGTTGTTACTAATTATCCGTTTATTGCGTTGTTACTAATTATCCGTTTATTGCGTTGTTAATAATTATCCGTTTATTGCGTTGTTACTAATTATCCGTTTATTGCGTTGTTACTAATTATCCGTTTATTGCGTTGTTACTAATTATCCGTTTATTGCGTTGTTAATAATTATCCGTTTATTGCGTTGTTACTAATTATCCGTTTATTGCGTTGTTACTAATTATCCGTTTATTGCGTTGTTAATAATTATCCGTTTATTGCGTTGTTACTAATTATCCGTTTGTTGCGTTGTTACTAATTATCCGTTTATTGCGTTGTTACTAATTATCCGTTTATTGCGTTGTTACTAATTATCCGTTTATTGCGTTGTTACTAATTATCCGTTTGCTGCGTTGTTACTAATTATCCGTTTATTGCGTTGTTACTAATTATCCGTTTATTGCGTTGTTACTAATTATCCGTTTATTGCGTTGTTATTAATTATCCGTTTATTGCGTTGTTACTAATTATCCGTTTATTGCGTTGTTACTAATTATCCGTTTATTGCGTTGTTACTAATTATCCGTTTATTGCGTTGTTACTAATTATCCGTTGATTGCGTTGTTACTAATTATCTGTTTATTGCGTTGTTACTAATTATCCGTTTATTGCGTTGTTACTAATTATCTGTTTATTGCGTTGTTACTAATTATATCTTTATTGCTCCGTTACTAATTATCTGTTTATTGCGTCGTTACTAATTATCTGTTTATTGCGTCGTTACTAATTATATCTTTATTGCTCCGTTACTAATTATCTGTTTATTGCGTTGTTACTAATTATCTGTTTATTGTGTTGTTACTAATTATATCTTTATTGCTCCGTTACTAATTATCTGTTTATTGCGTCGTTACTAATTATCTGTTTATTGCGTCGTTACTAATTATCTGTTTATTGCTCCGTTACTAATTATCTGTTTATTGCGTCGTTACTAATTATCTGTTTATTGCGTTGTTACTAATTATCTGTTTAATGCGTTGTTACTAATTATCTGTTTATTGCGTCGTTACTAATTATCTGTTTATTGCGTCGTTACTAATTATATCTTTATTGCTCCGTTACTAATTATCTGTTTATTGCGTCGTTACTAATTATCTGTTTATTGCGTTGTTACTAATTATCTGTTTATTGTGTTGTTACTAATTATCCGTTTATTTTGTTATTTAATAGTTAGTCAGGTAGAACTTGGGTTTAGGGTAGGATTAGGAATGTAGAATTAAATCATACTTTATAACAGCTAATGAACATTTAATATCTAAATAATAGGCAGGTAGTTAATAGCATGAATTGTAAACTAAACTAAAGTGTCACCCTAATATAAAATAAAATGCAAAACGATAATCACTGTAGTATAATAATGCATGTGTGATGTGTTCTACAGTGTTTGATCTGTAATAAACAAAAGCTGTGATGTGTTGCAGCAGAGTTTGTGGTTTTCCAGCAACTTCTTCTTTCTCTGCTCTCCCATCACGTGTTTTTCAGTGGAAGCGAAGCCGTCTGTCGCCCTGATAAAGATGCTCTTCTGCTTCAGAAATGCGGCTTCCTTTAATACTGTCGACAGCAGAAATGTGGAAACTGTCAAAACTACAAGCATCAACCTGATTTGTCAGTCAAAAATTACAATTCCATCATCAATTCCTCCGTTTGTCAACCCTCACACTGCAAAAAAAAAATTTACTTACTATTTTTTCTAAGACAGTCAAACTATAAGCTACTCAATAGTCTATATAACTTGTAGCTGCTTTTATAAACTGCTTACTAATGTCTCTTAATGTAGAGTTAATGCTTAACAAGCATTCATAGTGTGTAGTTCTTATTGTTACCAATATAGTCTTTTATAAAGTGTGCAAACTCTAATGTGGTCATCTATCAGCTCTTACTTGACCTCCTTCAGTGTAGTGTTGTCTTTCAGGCCTTCAGAAAGCTGTCTGGCTCCGTCAATAGTGAACTCATTGTCTATTAACCTGTAAAAATAAAAGCATTCAGACGTGATTACACTCGCTCTGCACATTTTGCATCAGCAGTAAATATACATGGAGCTTTCTGACAGCCAAATCATGATTTAATTATGATTTTAGCAGTTTATTTCAATGTAAACGGCCTACAAAATTGTTCATCAAAATAGTACATGAGGAATAAGAGTCAAAAGAAAGAATCGCCTCTAATCGCTTTAGCCAATCTTTATCTTTTTGAATATTTGCTGCTACTCATTATATAAACATGATTAAAGTAACTCATTTGCATATTCAAATTCTCTGAAAGCAGCGTTTTGTTTCTGATATGAAAAGACTAATCAAAACAGACTTGGCTAGCTGACCAATCAGAGCAGTGCTGGCTTACTGAAGAGGGAGGAGCTTACAGACCAAAAGAACTCGAAAGAATTGTACTGATTGCATGTTGCATGTTCTCCCCGTGATGGCGTGGGTTTCCTCCGGGTGCTTCGGTTTCCCAAACACATGCGCTATAGGGGAATTGATTAATTAAATTGGCCGTAGTGTATGAATGTGTGTGTGAATGAGTGTGTATGGGTGTTTCCCAGTAGTGGTTTGCGACTGGAAGGGAATCCACTGTGTAAAACATATGCTGGATTAGTTGGCGGTTCATTCCGCTGTGGCAACCTCTGATAAATAAGGAACTAAGCTGAAGGAAAATGAGTAATAATGAAGGATAATTGTAATCGTACATCAGATGCGTCAGAGACGAGTTAGACCTGAAGGCCTCCGCAAGATCCGACGCTGCGTCATCAGAGATTTTATTCTGTATCAGCCTGTAAAAATAAACACATTAAGAATGCATTATGAAAGATGTTCATTTCACACGCATGAGAGAATATGATATTCAGTTTTACCAGACGATGTGAAGACTTGTGTTTTCCTTCAATGTCTGTGCCAGACTTCTTCCACCGTGAGACGTGATGCCATTGGCGGAGAGACTAAACATTGATTAAATAATAATATTCTCAGATCACTTTATCTGAACGCTGACTTTCTCAGGAAAAAACATGCTTTTGGCAACACTTTTTAATAACTGCACACTATTAATATTTATTAAGCATGACCAAACAGTTTATCATTCGTTAAGCAATATCTGTACATTAGGGGGGACCTATTATGCATTATTATATAATACCAATCACCAATCTCGTCCCTGGAGGGCCGGTGTCCCTGCAGGGTTTAGCTCCATCTAGCCTCAACACACCTGCCTGGGTGTTTCAAGTATACCTAAGACCTTGATTAGCTTGCTCAGGTGTGTTTGATTAGAGTTGGAGCTAAAATCTGCAGGACACCGGCCCTTCCAGGAACGAGACTGGTGATCCCAGCCCTAGAGAGTGTAGTAAGGTTTCAGCTGAAGATATCACACAGATAATGTTCTTTAGCTCTCTGAAACTGACCCTTTTAGGCTTTAATCCTAATTGTGGTGTTTTGGTGACTGTCGCTTTAAATTCAAATGAGATTGTGCTCTTTTCGGAAGAGGGCGGAGCTATAAATGCCTGTGTATCAGCATAGTGGCAGATTCAGATTCAGGACTAACGTCCTATGCTAATGAGGAAGAGATGGTCACTAGTGGGTGGGGTTTTCCCCCTCTGATGACACGTACAAAGGGAGAATGTCAATCAAAGTGCTTCTGCAGACTGTTTTTATCAAGTCTGTATATATTAGGGATGCAACGATCCCGATACTTGAATTGGATAAAAACCAAATGACATGATATCACAGGCGATTGTCTTCTGAGTGCACCAGAAACGAATAACGCTCCTCATAGAGCTTGAGAAGCATACAGTACTGTATGATCTATATACTTTCTGAAATAAAGACTTGCAGGTTAAAGAAACAGCATAAGGGGAGGTTGCCATGGGCCTTAGTGCAGATAAAAAGTTTTTTTTTTTTTTTAAAAAAGGTGTATTTGTATATATATAGAGAGAAATGTAACTAGATAGAATAGACAGAGATAGATTGATCTCTGCAGCAGCTGCCGAACAGCTGCGCACTGCAGACGCAGCTGATGTGAAAGGCAAACGCCTGTGTACTGCTACTGCTCGACATACGCGCTGCTCACGCTTGCAGTGCGAAACAGGCGTAATATAGGCTATTCTGAAACTGTCATTTTATTTATTTTAATATTTTATTTAACAGACCTGTTTGTCAGTTTGTGTGCAGAATAAAAGCTAAGCAGACCTTGTCTTGAACTTCACCTTGAATATTCTTGTTTACTTAGTAGATAACTGACCAACAAAAAATACACTGAAATAACTAACAAATGATACCAAAGGAAATTCGTTAAAAAAAACATTTTTCAGACAAAAAAAATTATTGTTCAGACATGCTTTCAGTTTCTCCATCTCACTCGCAGCGAGTTTAGACGAGGGAATATTTAAGAAAATCTGGCCTGTTTAGTTTAGTCTGCATCAAACCTGCAGGAAAATATCAGGCTTTGCTGAAAGGCTGCTTATTTTACCAACAATTAGGGTCAATAGTGATAGCCTATTACAGATTTCAAAGAAAAATCCTAATATTCATTCATTCATTCATTCATTTTCTTGTTGGCTTAGTTCCTTTATTATTCTGTGGTCGCCACAGCAGAATGAACCACCAACTTATCCAGCAAAATTTTTTCGGTCAAAACTCAAATAAATGGTATTGGTGCATCCCTAGTGTATAACAAATGCAATAAATTAATGTTTACAGTTAGAGGCTGGATATATTCACACACTGCTGACACACAACTGTGTTTAAATTATTATTATGTTGCATAATAGCTCCCCTTTAAGTGTTAAACAATGACAAATTATTTGCAATCGTATCTAAAAATAACATTTATATAGAGAAGTGTCAAAATTCAGAATAAAATGTGATAACATTTATTTTCAGATGAGATTGCAAAGATTTATTTTCCATGAATTGCATTAATGCGATGCTTAATTTAGTAATGAACAAAATAATCGTTAACAAATTATGCACATACAATCATTAAGTCATTAAGCATAAGTCAAGAAAAGAGCACTTGTAGTTGTATTTCTAAACTGCTGCTACTACTAATGTCTATGGGGTATATGCCAAGCTAGTGTTTTTCCCATACTGATAAACTTCCGATGACCTGTTATTGTGAACTATTTTACATTTTATATGGTTCCTTTTACAGCATCGATGTTGTAATGTCATTAAAATACATTCAGCTAGATAAACTTTGGCATTCATTTAGTTGCTCAAGCGTAAAACGAGACAAAAAGCCGTTTACTCAAATGCGCCTGTCCGAATTGGCAGGCTAGCGGAGAAGCTCCATTGAATATAATGGGGTTAAATAAATGCTTATATTTTAAAAACATGGCGGGGGGAAATGTAATGTAATGCAGTGCTTCTTGTACAATCTGAGACCCACTTTATATCAGATACCACTCAGAGATCGTTGATTTTTAAAGAAAACAGACCTTAAACGTGCCGATTTTTGTACTGGCATACAGTTCACCGGAAGCGCTTAACCCAGGTTACTGGCAAATTAAAAGTCCTATTAGCATGCTTCGGCATATACCCTTTAATGGAGAGTTAATGCTTAAAGGTGCAGTAGGTGATTGTCTTCAGAAGCATGTGTTGTTGTGCTGGTTGAAAGTCTCTTCACAGTCCAATAGTAATGATGACAGTAAATGATCTAAATGTGTTTATATGTGTTTTTATATTCTGGGTAAAGCATAAAACTAAAAAATGTTCATCCAATTAAATAGAGTCGGCCGTCATCTCCCTTAATTCCGATAGGCAGGTCAGACTGTCTGTCAGCAAATGTAGATTCCGACTTCTGTGCATGTGTTCACGCAGATCCGCCATTAGCGCGTGCCCGTCTGCATCACAAACGCATGCGCTCTGAGCGAGCTGCGGGCCGCTCACAGATGCCGAGTCGGAGCCGGAGGCGCCGAAGGACAGCCAAGCTCGGGCCGATTACTGTAAAGCCAGGCGCGGGTATAATTCGCCCTTAAAGCAGCCGCGCGGTCACGAGACGGACCGGGAGAAATCAAAAGCTGAATTGAAACTTTTAAAAACCTGAATCAGTATTGGAGTTACTTTAGCACGCTGGAGGAAGGACGACACCATGGCTGAAGTATCACTGTTAGACAGGTAACGTTAATGTTCTGTTGTGAAACTATTTTATGTTAGATTGTGTTGTTATGAATGACTTCTATGCACAGACGTGTTGTTCAGCCACTGAAATCTCCCGGTGAAAGATTGATGATTATTTTCAGTGTCATAAGGTTCTTTGACAGCATCTATAATGTAGATTTATATTTAGTTTAACAACTAAACATCAGTAAATAGTGCTATTCCGCCTAGCCTGCTTTACTGAGCTGAAGTTGCTTTTATATTCACATTGGGTCATTTCTGAACAATGACAGCCTTCCTGTACTGTTTACCGCTACTCTGAATATTCACTCTGAAATAGCATGTAAGTGTGGCAAAGTATTTCATGTAATTCCTGCACGGCGCTGGCGCTAACTAACTGGCGAATGACATGAACTAGTGAGTTGTCTGTCGGCTGTTGTGACGCGGTGCGCGCGCTCGCGATTTCAGGGGGTGTGGCTTTGAATCACAGTCCCTCCCCGCCGTCCAAAGATAATATGCTAAGTGGTTAGCATTTTGGCAGATCACCTACTGCACCTTTAACATATGATGAATGAACTATTTTTTAATGCTTAATAAATGACTGATAGTGTGCAGTTATTATAAAGTGTTGTTATACTTTTTTGATTACCTGAGGTTGGTCAAACTGGGGTGGTTTTTCAGAGCCTCTGCGAACGCTTCTGCACCTTCATCACCGATGCAGTTTCCCCACATTCTGCAAATGAATCATTTGAGCATATTTTTACACACTTTTCTGTGTGAAAATTATGATTGAAAACTCCACACACACAGATATTTGGCTTGATCAATCAATTTGCATCTTTTTAAGTAGCAGGTCATATGGTATTTAAACATAGAATATTACTAATTATAACACTAATTTAATATTAGCAACTACTAAAATAGCCATTTCAGTCATTCATATTAAAACAAATACCAATTTTTTTACACGTCACATTCAAATTCGAAGCTACAACAGGTTTAAACGATGCTAATTTCAGAAAGCATTGTAATGTTAGACTAATTTTATTATTAATTTAATATTTGAATCGTTTTTCAGTGTTTTCGATTTATTTAAATCAATTCAGTTCTTCAGGTCATTAAGCCCCTCCCTCTTCATTAAGCCAGCTCTGCTCTGATTGGTCAGCAGGCCAAATCCATTTTGATTGGTCTTGATATCTGTATTGGAAAACGGAATGCCCATTTCAGAGCGTTTGTATGTCACAGCAGGCGGGATTATGCAAAATAAGGATACTAGCATCTCCTGCAACAGGCTTAAATGCATCTAACATCAGAAAACATTCAAACTTTTCCAGAATTTGCATTTAATATTTGAATTATTTTGATTTCAATACAATTAATTTGAACCAGTCCAGTGTTTAATATTTGTAAGCCCCTCCCCCTTCCATAAGCCAACTCTGCTCTGATTGGTCGGCTGGCCAAGTCTATTTTGATTGGTCTTTCCATGCCGAAAACAAAACGCCATTTCAGAGTGTTTGAATATTGTGGGAGGCGGGATTATGCAAATGAGCCACTTTGATCATGTTAATGTAGATCAACAGCTGGTAAAAGATTTGAAAATATAGTGAATTGTTAAGGTGATTCAGAGTCGACTCTTTCTTTTGAGAGTCGATGTCTTCATCATGCACTATTTTTGTTTACCTTTGCAGACAGTTCACATTGAAGATACATAGCAAATAAGATATTTCTGACAGCCCATATGACCTGCTCTTTTACGTGAGGATTAATTGTTCCCTAAGATGAATTCTCACCCTATATCAAAGATAGATTTGCTCTTGTGAATCGCGCTGGCGAGATATTTCCCACCTACACTTGTGATGTTGTTGCAGCCGAGCCTGTGCAAAACACAAACAAGTGACCACCATGCATTATCTGTGTGTACATTTATAAGATTTAGTTTAAACACTCCAACAGTTATTGTCTATTTTCACTGAGAAACTCATTTTCAAAAGGAGCTGTACTCATTTATGCTGAGCACTATGAATAAATATATGTATAAATGCAAAATCCCCCCAAAATCACGCTGTTTGAACGAATGCTAGTGAAAAATATTCCCCCGTCAGGAGTGTTTTTGTTCTGCGAGGGTTTATTCCTGGTTTACTCACTTGACGGTCCTCAAATGTGGACATTCTTCAATGATCTTTGCTACTTGTTTGGCTCCAACATCTGTGATGTGGTTTTGGTAAAGGCTGTGGATGCAGAAAACAAAGTCAAAGAGGTCTATACAACATAAGATAAACAGATGAACCGTAAACCGTAAACTCACCCCAACACCTTCACGATTTTATATCTGATGAGTTCCTCAGCCAGAACCTCAATACCGCTGTCTGTCAGCTGATTCACACAAAACCTGAAAGTTGATTTGAAATCAGACAAAACAGAATTCTTACTTATTGGGCCTAAATCCTGTACAGGGCAGATCTCACAACTCAACCTACAATTAGAGGGATACAGAGTTAGCGTTAGCTCTACTATAAAAGATCTGGGTGTCATATTAGACAGCAGTTTAACTATTGAAAAATTTAAATCTTATCTCCCATGTCACAAAAACTGCCTTCTTTCGTCTGAGAAATATCGCTAAGTAACAAAGTATGCTATCCATCTCAGATGCAGAAAAGCTAGTCCATGCTTTTATGAGCTCTAGGCTGGATTACTGTAATGCTTGGTTTGCTAACTGCCCAGCATCCTCTATTAACAAACTTCAGCTAGTACAAAACGCAGCTGCCTGAGTTCTTACCAGGTCTAGAAAATATGATCATATCACCCCAATGTTATCCTCCTTACACTGGCTGCCTGTTCAGTTTCGTATGGAATTTAAAAAATTACTTCTTACATATAAAGCTTTAAATAATCTAGCTCCTGTTTATCTAACCAACCTTCTGTCTCGCTGCAATCCAACCCTCTCTTTAAGATCTCAAAACTCAGGGTTTCTGGTAGTACCTAGAACAACAAAGTCAAGTAAAGGAGGTCGAGCCTTCTCGTTTATGGCTCTGGAATAGCCTTCCAGATAAAGTCCGCGGCTCAGACACACTGTTCCAATTCAAATCTAGATTAAAGACCTGTCTGTTTAGTAAAGCATACACTCGGTGCATCACTTAGCAATATGATCCATGAATATCCTCCACACAGGTTTCTGCATCTTGTTTATATACACTACGAACAGCAGCTACGCTAATTATTCTCTTTATTCTCTATTTCCATCTGGGAATACTCATCCTGAGGCCCTCAGACGATACAGCGCCACTGATTCGATCCAAGTCCAGCGACAAGATGATATTCTTACATTAGAAAAGACAAACTTGCAATAGAAAAAGACGTGATATGGGAACGGCCGCTGCTGTAGTTAATCCGGTGTGCGTACGTGCATATTAGCCTCGGTGTACATACTAGGAACTTTAAACTAGTGCACAGTTGGCAACTTGGCATAACTTTGTTTAATTGCAGAAGTTTTGTTTTGTTCTGTGCAACAGAAGTGTAGCTTAGAGAAGCCTTTACGGTTAATTAACTGTGATAAATTAAAGCGCAGTGAAATCGGCTAATCATTGCATCCCTATTAATGATATCAATGCATTGTACAAAAAGCCTTTTCTACAAAAACTTCCAAATGTTTTCGGCTGCCACGCCACTGGCTTTGGTGACTCACGCTCTACGCCGCCTTTAACTGCAGCTCGTGCTGTATTGAACAGACACACGTCACTTCATAACTATAGTGGCCGTTTTTCGACTGAGCTAAATTTATTTTTGATCTCTTGGTCATACTATCTGGAGGGCCGAAACAAATTGCTTCGGGGGCCGTGTTCGGCCTACGGGCCACCAATTGAATAGCCCTGCTCAAAAGACATCTGACTTATTATATACAGTTGAAGTCAGAATTATTAGCCCCCTGTTTATTTTTCCCCAATTTCTGTTTAACGAAGAGCATATTTCTTCAGCACATTTCTAATCATAATATTTTTAGTTACTCATTTCTAGTCTCTGATTTATGTCATCTTTGCCATGATGACAGTAAATAATATTAGACTAGATATTCTTCAAGACACTTCTATACAGCTGAAGGGGACATTTAAAGGCTTAACTAGGGTAATTAGGGTAACTAGGCAGGTTAGGGTAATTAGGCAAGTTATTGTATAACGATGGTTTGTTCTGGAGACTATCAAAAAGTATATTGCTTAAAGGGGCTAATAATATTTATTGTAATATAATAATAATATTGTTTTATTCTAGCCAGTATAAAACAAATAAGACTTTCTGCAGAAGAAAAAATATTATCAGACATACTGTGAACATTTCCTTGCTCTGTTACACATCATTTGGGAAATATTTGATAAAGAAAAAAACTTAAAAGGGGGCTAATAATTCTGACTTCAAATGTGTCTTGTAAAAAGGAGCATAATAGGTGTCCTCTAAATGATTTTTGTTGTAATCTGCCGTTATATAAAGCAAATAAAATTGATCGACTGAATAATTAAATAATAATGGTCTTGGGAAACACTGCTCTCTCCCAAACTCTGTCTGCTTTCTTACCTCACTACCGTCATTTTGCTGAAAGAGGGTCGCAGTTGCTTCACGCCATAATCGTTAATGTTATTATTGTCCATATCGACTCCCAAATGCTTCCTACGATGGTGCAGCACGAAGTTCAAAGCACTGCAGTCGGCAGAGTAAATATTACAGAACGCAATCTTAATATAATCTGCAGATATGCCGTTAGCTGTCATCTTGGCCACGTCCTCGCTGTTTGTCTCAAATATGCAGCGCAGCATCCACAGGAAGTTGGGCATCGCGTGCACTTTATCTCCTTCGATGTCTGTGGACGGAGACCGAGGGAGGCTCTTAAGATGAGTTTTCACGCTGTTCGATAAATACGATTTCAGTATCTTGCGTTTCTGCTTCAATGCCGACGGCGGGACGAGATGCTCCAGGAGAGCTGCGTTGGATTTAGACAAAAGTCCGCACAGGAATAGATTAGTGAATTGAAAGTTGGTCTGGAATGCATCGCTCTCTCTGGGTTTTGTGTTTTTTAGGCAAGGTATGCAGGAGAGACGTGACGACTTCTTGTATTTGCATTTAGAGAAGAACTTTAGGATTGACTCTGGATTTAGTTTTGCATCCAGAACTAGAGAAAAGGCTGCAAGGAAGGCTTGGAGAGTCTCGTGGAGGAACTCGAAGGAGCTTGCGGATGAAGAATCGTAATGCGAAGCAGGTCTTAAAAACCCAAACTGAAGATCTTCATCGTTTAATCCACAGCACACCGCTTCATCTAAGGTGAACACCAGTTTACTTGTTTCAATACCGTGCAATGCTAGTCGAGCAAATCCCGAAAGCTTCTGTTCACCAGCTTTAAAGGTCTCCGTAGGACATCTCAATGTTCGCCTTAGGAGTCCAGGACGTGCAGTTGAGTGTCCGAGAAAAACCTCGGAGAGCAGCAGGAATACATTTGTGAGTGTGATACAGGAACCCGGCAACTCAAAGTCATCATACACTGATTGCAGATGCTTAAAGCTCTTCAGGATGATCCAGCTGAATAGCGGGATTGAGCACAGACCGCATAGATGTGGGTTAGCATCGAGCTGATCGCTCACGAGCATCCTATGCTCTTGCTCGGGGAAATGCAAAGCTAAATATCTCTTCAGGTGTTCTGGTGCAAATCCCTTCAGGAACACTTTCTTCCGAATCACTCGGCTTTGGATTTCAGTGCCACTTCTTGCTGACAGAATCTTCCTGGAGCCTTTCAGGAGTTTCCCACAGAGCAGATTCATTAGAAGCAGCAGCGGTCGTGTTTTTTCTTCTGGGGAAACCGTTTCCGGCACATTATCTAAATCGAAATCCATTTGGAGCTCATCGTATCCGTCGAAAGTGAACACCACAGTTTCTGGGAAGCGTAAGATGTAGGCGAACACCTCATTATCTGGATCTCCATCTGGATAGCAGTTGTGCTTGAAGATTAAATCCTTCAGCGAGATCTCATCCGTCTCCTTGAAGGCGCTGAACGCTCTGCATCTGAACTTGAAGAAGAATTTGGCGCGGGTTTTCAGCTCTCGTCTGGACCACAGATTCTGCAGTTTCTGGAGCATGATTGATTTGCCAACACCAGCGTCACCCGTGATGAAGATAGTCTCAGCCTGTGGGTTGAAGACTCCATGATCTCCTAAAAGTTGGTCCAGATTCTGTAAATATCCCAAACTCTCTCCTGTGTCGTTCAGGAGCTCCATCTGCGTGTCGGTGTACAGATCCTCCAGCGGCGTCTCCTCACTTTTAGAGTAGGACGTGATGAACTGAGTGTCTCTTCCCAGCTCATATCGGAGCTTTTCACAGTATTTGCTGACTGTAGAGATGGGGAACAATAACATTAGTGCACCAGAACAATCACTCATACAGTGAGATACAAAAATCATTCATCCTTATGTGAATATGTTTTTTTTCAAATATTTCCCAAGCACTGTTAAAGTTTGAAACGGAAGGTAAGATAGGTAAGTACATCTACTTGAAATGAAAAAAAAGTGTAGGGCAGTGCATGATTTCGCTGCTGCTAACGTGTACCACTAGTGGTACGCAGGCTTCCTTCTGGTGGTACGCAGAGGAATGAAATATATCATGTACATGCTATACACGTTTCAAAATTTATCAAAAACGATGTATATAATATGCCATATATTATATATAGGCTATATTTCTGAGGTAATCTGCCACGTTATTTTAACTTTGCAGAGTTGTAGCTGCTTTACTGGGCCTTCTACGCTACTGTATTTCAATACTGCTCATTTTGGTGGTACTTGGAGAGACTATTTTTTTCTGAGGTGGTACTTGGTGAAAAAAGTTTGAGAACCACTGCCCTAAATGATTAATAGCCCCACCCTAAATCACTGATAGCCCAGCCCAGCCCTATAGCTTTGCCATAAATGACTGATAAATCTCCATAAAGAATGGATAGGCCCACCCCTAAAGCACTCATAGCCCCACCCTAAAGCACCGATAGTCCTACCCTAAAGGACCGATAGTCCCACCCTAAAGGACTGATAGCCCCGCCCTAAAAGACTGATAGATTCACCCTAAAGCACCGTTAGTCCTGCCCTAAAAGACAGTTGGTCCCACCCTAAAGGACCAATAGTCCCGCCCTAAAGGACTGATAGTCCCGCCCTAAAGGACTGATAGCCCCGCCCTAAAAGACTGATAGTTTCACCCTAAAGCACTGTTAGTCCCGCCCTAAAAGACAGTAGGTCCCGCCCTAAAGGACCGATAGTCCCACCCTAAAGGATTGATAGTCCCGCCCTAAAGGACTGATAGTCCTACCCTAAAGGACCGATAGTCCCGCCCTAAAGGACTGATAGCCCCGCCCTAAAAGACTAATAGTTTCACCCTAAAGGATTGATAGTCCCGCCCTAAAGGACCGATAGTCCCGCCCTAAAGGACTGATAGCCCCGCCCTAAAAGACTGATAGTTTCACCTTAAAGCACTGTTAGTCCCGCCCTAAAAGACAGTTGGTCCCACCCTAAAGGACCAATAGTCCCGCCCTAAGGGACTGATAGTCCCACCCTAAAGGATTGATAGTCCCGCCCTAAAGGACCGATAGTCCCACCCTAAAGGACTGATAGTCCTACCCTAAAGGACCGATAGTCCCGCCCTAAAGGACTGATAGCCCCGCCCTAAAAGACTGATAGTTTCACCTTAAAGCACTGTTAGTCCCGCCCTAAAAGACAGTTGGTCCCACCCTAAAGGACCGATAGTCCCGCCCTAAAGGAATGATAGTCCCACCCTAAAGGATTGATAGTCCCGCCCTAAAGGACCGATAGTCCTGCCCTAAAGGACTGATAGTCCCACCCTAAAGGACCGATAGTCCCGTCCTAAAGGACTGACAGATCTGCCCTAAAGAACTAGTAGCCCCCCCCTCCCACACCCACCCCACCCCCCACAAAAGAAACAAAAGAAAATTAACAATATTTGTTGTTGTTTTTTTCCAGAAAATTTGCATGGAATAAATGCAACTGTTATACAATGACTTGTCGAATTAACCTAGTTAAGCCTTTTAATACCACTTTAAGCTGAATACTAGTGTCTTGACAAAATAACTAGTAAAATATCATGTACTATCGTCATGACAACGATAAAGGATATTAGTTAGAATTTTTCTATTGAAACTATTAGGTTTAAAATGTGTTGACAATCTTCCTCCACATCTCCTCCTCCTCCTTCTGTTGTGTTCTGATGCAATTTTTGACTTTTGTATCTGTGAAATAACTCTAATCATTCAGCGTAGTGATATGGAGCTGTAATGCGCTCGAAACCTGACGGAACTACTTTAGCTTTTATTTGTGTGTTTATCTGACAACCGAACACCTTCGAGTGCTCAGAATCAAGCATTCAACAGCGCTTTAGTATTGATAAATTTAAAGGGAAATACTCACTGGGGTCTGTGTTAACCACTGGTATGGCTTTAATGGTGTCTAATGGCGTGTATTGGATTTCATCAAACCAAGGCCGTAGATCGATGTAGGCATCGTATGCTTCATGAAGGATCTGTGTGAAATACGCCGAGCATTCCTCGCCTTTACTTTGGACCAGCTCCAAGATTTTGCGTACCTGCAGGTCCAGAAACGAGATGAGTTCAAAAGTTGACCCTCCTTTGGTTATGTTGGGGGCTGTTTTTGCCCCATTGACATCCATTATAATCATATTTTTGATTGACAGCATGTAATCATGTATTCTTGATTATTGCTGATTTTCCCTGCTGGGAAGAGGGACAATGTGTATTTTTTTTTTACCTATAATTAGTTAATGTTAATATATATTAACTAACATTAACTAATAATGAACA